GTAGGGTTATATTTAGGGTAACTCCATTTAGGGTACTTATAACTCTACTTACCTACTTACTAAGTCCCCTGGGCCTCCAAGTAAACCCTGTACACAAAATTCTGACTCACACCCGAAGCCGAAAGCTAGACACAAACGCTGCGTATTACAGTCCGCGAACCTAGAATCAACTTTCAGCTGAGTTACCCCAGCTCCTAGGTGCTGATCGATGCCCTCCTGGGCCATGACCTTAGGACCGAGCCAAAAAGATTTGTTTGGCTTAAAAGAAGTCAGGGATCATGATTTACAGATATCAGGGTTTCGGGTCCCGGGTGATTGCGCTCCTAAACCCTAAACCCTAAACCCTAAAGTTGTCCATGAGATGTTTCGGGATTTGGGTATCAGGGGTCTACAGGGCTGAGGGCCTGGGGCTCACCGGGTTTAGGGTGTAGGGCTTAGGATGTAAGGATTCGGCTTTACAAGACCGGTACGGATCAGAAGTAAGGTTTGGGGCTTTTTGACGCTCTAGTTCTAGTTTGGAGCAATGCCCCTGTCCTCTCTATTATCGCCTCGACACCCGGAACCGATCCTACATGCATACACAAAATCACAACAAAGGACAAGCAAAAAAGTACAATTACATGCATGCATGCATGCATGCATGCATGCATGCAGGTATGTATGTATGTATGTATGTATGTATGTATGTATGTATGTATGTATGTAGGTAGGTATGTGTATCAGTACACAAGCACAGATATAGTTATAGACAGAAATATAGGTATAGATATAGATCTAGATCTGTCTTCTTGACGCATGAGCAGCAGGTAATTCGGCCTGTTGACGCCACCAAATCTGCAGCCATTGTTGACCCATACGTCATGCATTCCACCCAAACCTGGAGCAATCACCAGCTCGAAGACTCGCATCCGGCAGGCTGGACGTCATTTTTCTTCGAGGATGGGGAGAGCGCATTAGTCAAGCTGCTGGCGGAGCAGTACAAGGTGTGGCTTCGTGCTGATGTGGCTTCACCATCTCTTCGGCCTGCTGCCCTCGACAGAAACGCTTTCTGGGGATCGAGCGAAGCTGCAGAGCTGCAACCTGGGCCGCGAGCCTGAACTGTGAAGTTTTCCGTTTCGCTAAAACCAAGAGGTGTTTGCTTGCTTTGCCTGCTTTCATGGGCTCCAACTAGTGGCGGCTAGGCAAGACAGTTCAGGACTCAAAACTCGACGAGCCTGGCCCATCTAAGATGACATGACGCGCCCCTTGTTGTAGAGTAGGATAGCGGCGGCCAGAACCACAGAACAGATTTGCCGAGCCAAGTGTGGCCATGTTTTTGCCATGGCTTGGAGCTTCTGGCCGTCATGGCTTGTGATTGGGTTTACGTTGCAGATTCGGATGAAGAAGCAGCAGGCAAGGCTTCCGGTTGCGATACTTCCTGTGGACATCCATGCCTTGCGGGCTTGACAACTTCGGCTGACAATAGCTCCCGGTCGTACAGGCGAGACGTCTGTCAAGCGTCGCAGGTGTGGCGATGCACGGGTCTCATTCACACCCAGATTGGGGTCTGCATGTGATAGCGTCTTTGTCGCTGCAAGGACATTCCAGAGAAAGATCTCGCACTCCGAGCATGCATCACGCCACCAAGCTTATTCCATGAGCATTGCCTACTGCCTGTAGTCTGTTTGCGGCGATGCCTGGAGCCCATGACAGGCCAGGCGTCGAGGCTCAGACGAGACTCCAAGCACAAGCACGGCCTCGGCCTGCGTGCGTCCCGAAGTCGGGACACAGCGCGGCGGAGACGATCCAGTCCGATCCAGAGGAGTGCGTGGGAGTGCGCCCAGCAATGTGTGCTTTCGAGAGTCTTACATGTGTCGAGGCTGTCGGCGAACCTGCCCAAGAGACTGCGGACTTTGAAGGCTACACCTTGTTGCTTGGCCGGCGGAGGGGTTTAGTGGGGCTTCGGGACTTCCAGGCGAGGGTGGGTGGCACGTCGAGGGGCGGTTTCTGTGGCAGGTTGTGGGTGGAAGGTGCATGGGGTGGATGCCCGGGTGGGGGGCTTCCGGATGGGTTCTACAGCAGGTTCCGGGAAGGGAGGATTTAAGGGTTCGGCAGTTCGGGGCAGTTACCGCAAGTTTGGGATAGCTGGTCCATGCATGGGTGGGTTTTGGGCCAGGTCTGGGCGCGTTCCGAGGTTCCGGGGTGCTGGAGCGTTCTTCTCCATGTACCCTCACGGAGGTCAGAAAGTTGTCAGGCAGTCCCTGAGCCCCAGCTGGAAGCCTTCTGAAAGCTAGTTTCCTTGAGCAGGCGCACCTGGCTGGTGGCGGGCAGTTTAGATGTTATTTTTCGTGTCACACGAAAATACTACAGAACAAGTTCCCGAACTCTTCAAGGCTTGTAAATGCAGCTGTGCCTCATCTAAGCAGATCTGGTGTCCGATACGCTCCGAAGCCGCTTGTAAGTTTGCAGGCACATGTGAGGGCTATTTCAGCATATTTCAGCATGGTGCCCCATCGCCATTCTGTTGTTGTGGATATTGATTTTTACCGAGCCTTCTCAGGCGCGACCTGCAGCTCTTCCGCACTGAATGGCAGCCGGGCCCATGTCTGAGCCCTCATCTCGGCCTTTTTTTCCACTCAGGCGCCGCTTGGTCGCACAGATGCTGCCCCGCTACGGCCGGCTCTTGACATGCGGCGAGCTCGCCGCGCTGAGGCGCTTCGAGCCTCCCGGATTCTGAGAGACTAACAGGGATGGATCCGTAAAGGGACGAGACATAACAAAAGAGATCAGTAGAAAGAAAGAGTGAATTAATTTCCCGACGTCCCAGGTCCCTGCCGCTGCGTGCGAAGCAACTATTCGCTCGGCTTCTGTGCAGAAAGTGGCCACAGTGGGTGGCACTGGAAGGCCTCGGATCCAGGTGGGGAAGCGTGAGCTGCACGTTTAGGTGTTTTGCAGCATGTGGCAGCTCTGGCACCAGGTATCGTGAATTGAGCAGCGAGGACGTTGTCACTGCTGTGGCAGATCTCAGTGAAGCAAAGGCTTCCAGCTTACCAGAATGCGGACTAAGCGAGACTGGCGGCGGAGGTTGGGCCACCCTGCTCAGCCAGCTCCCCGACACGACGACAGAGCCGGAAGAGTCTTCCATGCCATGGTTGCTCGATACATCTGCCGAGACGGCTGCTTCGTTGTTAAGCCGACAGATCCCCGAAGCGATGGCCAGCGAGGACTGCTTGCAAAGGATGTTGATGCATTGCCACGTGCTTTTCACGAACCATGCTTTGTCCGCCACAGGACAACTATGGCAAACTGCTACTGGGCGCGCTGCCAGCAGCAGAACTGCGTCGAATGGGCAAAGGTTTGGGCATCAGCGACCTGCATGGCCTTGGACGACGCAGCTCCAAAAGCAAGCTGGTCTCCAGACTGTGCGAAGCAGCGAAGCAACAGCGACTTTTGCAAACGACCCGTCCAGCGGAGGCCACCACTGAGGCCTCGCATAGACTAATTTAATTAGTATTTTTGATGTTTAAGGAAGTTTAAGGAAAACACATTTATATCAAACGTATCTATACGTGCATACATGTATTTACACAAGCATACATGCATGCAT